CTCTCTCTCTCTCTCTCTCTCTCTCTCTCTCTCTCTCTCTCTCTCTCTCTCTCTCTCTCTCTCTCTACTGATTATAAAATAGTGTCATAATCATCGAAATATTATTCAGAATAAATAACATTGAACACGAATGGGGATGCAATAAAGCAGGGTCATTGTGATGGAAGCGGATTGGTAGATCACGTACTTTAATGGGTAAAACGTGTGCATAGGGAGCCCGTCTCACATGCCTAAACTGTTCTGTCCACTGTCCCTCACATATTCGTCTATTCAAAATTGTATTTTTATTTCTTCATAATAAAACAATCAAAAATAAAAAAAAACACATTTAAAATTGAACTATCACGGCCAGTTCGAAGACACTTATGAGTAAAATCAAGAATCATAACACGGCACCAAGACTTTATACGCAAATGAACATAAATACTTATCCCTGGCAAGAATTACAAATTTAACAAGAAAACTAGCCGTGAGGTGTAATGCATGAGGGGAGCATGATATTTATAACAGGACAAACTGAAGCCTGGAAATGGAATCCAATTAAGTAAGTCTCCATCAAAAGGAAAAAGAGGGACCCGATTTTTCTAAAAGACTATATTAATAAAGTTTTCTTTCAAAATTATTTCTGTTTTTTTTTTACGTAAAACAAAACAAAAACAAAACCACCAGGATCGGGGTAAATGCAAAGATATAAAATCCTTTTCATAATTTTCGGCCAAAAGGGGGTCAAAGGCCTATTAATTTATCAAAGTTGACGGTATCGGAGATGTCTAAAGATAAAATCAGTTTTGTAACATACCACAAAACTAAATATTGACTTAAAATATAAAACAAAGTGATGATGAAGGAGAAAAGGAATGAAGGAAAAAACATAAAGACACACGCAGCAATCCCCCTCCAGTGCATATGTATATAGAAGGTTTCTTTTGTCTTGTATTAGATATCTCAAAACCGAACAATAAGTGTAACAAAATCTAGTCCCTAAGCATGAACATGGGATGAAACACAGGCAACATATGCATACATTAATATCCCTTAACACAACAGACAATATGCTAAATAACTAGATAATCTCTCTCTCTCTCTCTCTCTCTCTCTCTCTCTCTCTCTCTCTCTCTCTCTCTCTCTCTCTCTCTCTCTCTCTCTCTCTCTCTCTCTCTCTCTCTCTCTCTCTCTCTCGGAACTATTCATTACACACACAAATCGGGTGGACATGAAATTACAAACATAAAAGCATTTGGTTCTTCGATAAAAAGAGAGAATCTTATAATTTTATTCAAGGATCATTGTTAACAAAGCAATCTAAAATCATAAAAAGTTCGTCTTTTATATAATTGAATATGCCCTAAACTAGGATGTAAGGTCATTTCTAAGTTGACGAAGCAGAGACTTAGTGGTGTCATCGTTTTCTTCGCCAGATATGCAATGCCTGTGACAAGCAAATTTTGTATACAATTTAATCGGTAACGACAGACTGACGAATTGAACCGACTGATATTTAAAATTGTGTTCAAAAGCATGACGATTCTTTACACAGAATCAGTCTGACTTGGATAGTGTTTATGGATCGAAAGCACTTCAAATATGGAATCATAAGATGGATAAAACTTTTCAGGGGTGATATTGAGATTGTCAAAGAAAATATAAGAAAAAGTTAGGCAAATTACATCTCTTTCAAAAGATGAGGACGATTTTTTGGAAGGTAATCTGCATTATGCTTGTCAACGCACAAGAAATAATTTTAATTACACGGTATTAGAGAACACCACGGGAAATGGACGATACTATGCATAGGGATCATATATAATGCATGTGAGTTATTTGTAAAAGATGCCCAAACGTAGCAAGGAGTGAATTATTTTTACATCAAGATAACGCCTTCGCACACGCATGCAAAATTATAGTCCAGGCCTTACAAAAATTTGGCGTTTAAATCATAAATCACCCAAATTCACCGAATATAACTCCTTGCGATGTAGAAACATTTTTCCAAGATTTGAAAGATTTGCTTTTGTGCAATGTTAATATGTCGTTTTAAAAGTTGATAAATCAATTTTTTATTGCTTATTTCATGGACAGTTGAATCTGGGTGTGCGTGTATTTAATTCTGATCACGAACCATATTTTGATGCTGTCTTTGTTTCTTCTTTAAGCTAGACCAACAAGTGGGTCTCCACTTTTTTTTCTGACAGCGGAGACCAACGTTGTGGGTCGGTATTCCACACTGAAGTTCTACGCTATTTTAACCTCCACAAGAATAATATCTGGAAACCTTCTAGTGAGGAGAATATCACTAGGAACTGAAAAATGCTTGGGACAGAACTGAATTAATAAATTAATTTTTTGAAAAGTGATATAAAAATTGCACAAAACTTAGTCACTTCATTCATTTGTGTATGTATGTATGTATGTATGTATGTATGTATGTATGTATGTATGTATGTATGTATGTATGTATGTATGTATGTATGTATGTATGTATGTATGTATGTATGTATGTATGTATGTATGTATGTATGTATGTATGTGTGTGTGTGTGTGTGTGTGTGAGTGTGTGTGTGTGTGTGTGTGTGTGTGTGTGGTTTATCGGACTAATTCTTGCTTTATTCGCATAAAAGAAAATGAGCACTGGAACTAGACCTAATTTTGAATCATTGTAGATTCATTCATAGATCATTGGACCTAACTTTGACTCAATGTTAACGCGTAAATTGAGATAAAGTCCAGTTATTTTCCGTTCTGTAATGTTTTTAAAAAAATAATCTGATTGATGTTATACAAAATCATACTGTATTTAAACATTGCAGCTGGACCAAATGTCATAAAGTTTGTACCAAATATTACAATGGTCCAACAATATTCTGGTCTGAATATGTCCTGCCGTACAGACTGTTATCCGATTTGTTCCTGGACGTGGACAAAATTGGATCTTTCATTGGGCGAGGATAATGTTATCTCAACACAAGACGTATTACATATTCAGAATATTACACGACTGGAAGGTGGAGTGTACTCGTGCAGAGTTCAGAATAAAATCACTGGTACATCACTTGAAAAATTAACACCAATACAAATCGTATGTGAGTATCATCATCATCATCATCATCATCATCATCATCATCATCATCATCATCATCAAAAGTATTTTACATACAGATCGAAGCAAACGATCATGAATTATACTTTGGTGTTGTTTAGATGATGAAAGTTTAATTTAGATCACAAGTTAATTTTGGCTAGTATTTCCTCACAGTACAATTCTTAGATAAAATATATTTCTGCTGGTGGTACATATTCGTCTTTCTTTTAATGAAACCTAATACTATCTAATACATATAGGATCTCAAATGGGTTTAATATTGAATTTGTGAAACGAGTTGAATAATATTCAGCTTTTCGGAGCCTTGGCGAGAAAAAGATCATAATTCAATATTAAATCATTATCCGTTTGTAATCCTATAGTTATAATACATTCATAAAAAAATGTTACAATATTTGTTAATAGAAAAAAATAGTCCATAATAATTCTCTATCATATTAAACGTTATATGGTACAGGTCTTTGAATGAATAGGCAAATTTACTAGATTTCACATTCAGATTTTGTTGTTTAATATTTTGTATCAATGTTATTATTATTATTATTATTATTATTATTATTATTATTATTATTATTATTATTATTATTATTATTATTATTAGTTCACATAGTAATATTACTCATAATTACCTTTCTGGACTATGCCATGGTACATTTTATCGTCATACAATAGGACTTCGTATTATATATATATATATATATATATATATATATATATATATATATATATATATATATATATATATATATATATATATATATATATATATATATATATATATATATATATATACATATATATATATATACATACATATATATATATATATATATATATATATATATATATATATATATATATATATATATATATATATATATATATATATATATATATATATATATATGAATGACATTACGTTTTTTCATCTCTATTGTTATAGATGGTCCTGACGTAATTTTGTTTAATTCATCAGACAAAATTATTCAGTTGCATGAAAATGATTCCATAACTATATCTTGCTCTGCCGACTGCTTCCCAGCATGTAAGATAGACTGGACTGAATCAATTTCGGGCATTCAGATATCTGGTGGAAAACTGAATCTTGTAAATGTAACCAGAAGCTGTAATTACACATGTCATGCGACGAATGCAAGAAAAGACAATACCACAATTTCGGATAATATCTATGTCATCGTGAAATCAGGTATATAAATCTCTGTGACAATTTAGCGTCAATCTAGAGTTTTCACCATGCTATTGTCTGCCATAAACTTTGTCCGTTGTTTTATACGTTCAGCCCAGGTTTATTTAATTACTGTTGAATACATGGTCTGGTTTTGTGATAAAAACGTTATAAGATCATCTCAAATCGGCATTAAATAATATATATATATATATATATATATATATATATATATATATATATATATATATATATATATATATATATATATATATAGTTTCTACATTAAATAATATTAATGTTATATAATATATATTATAATAATATAAAGTTTATACGTTTTGTTTCGTTCTCCTTCTGTAATTTTTTTTTATTATGATACAGATTGTTTGTATTAGGATATTTCCTGTTTGTTTGCTGTATCTTACTTTGTTCAGAAAGCTAACAGTATTACATTAAAAATGGTAATTATTGGCATCGCAGGCTTCCGCAATCAATATTGAATTAAAGTTTGTTTTCATAAGGAAGACCAACATTCATGAAAACATTGGGCTGTATTTCCATTAACGTTTTTTTTTATTTTTGTTATTAAATAAATCTACAGACTAGAACCAATTACCCGTCGTTACCATATTTGAGAACATCATATTGTACTATATATTTAATGTACCTTTCAATCAATACATTTTCATTGCTTCCGTATCTCAATTGCACCACTTCGGTGGACTAGTGGTTAGAGCATCCGCATCAGATGCGGGAGGTCGCGGGTTCGAACCCCAGCCGAGTCATACCAAATATTTTTAAAAATGGTACTAGCAGCTGCCTAAGTTGGCGCTCAGCATTAATATGTTGGTGTTAGGACTGACTGGCATGGTGTCAGGATAATGTGACTGGGTGGAACATTATGCTATGTGTCTGCGGCATGATGTACCAGTGCTAGACATCACTATAAACTGCCACACTGCAGACATCGTGGCGATATGACTTAAAAATTATTAAAGCTACGTTTAAAAAATACAGACTTGTTTCCTGTATCTGTTAGTTAATAGCAATGCTGGTTGATGTGTACATCTACTTTTAAGTACATAAGTAGGTGTTGCAGGCTATGTATATTACATTTTAATAGATCACTATCTTATTTCATGGTTTTTCATACATGAAACACAGTACTAGTCAGTATTCAGATATGTGTGACCTAACATTACGATATCTTTCTAGTATAGTTAAACATTTTCAAGTACCATGTTGACTACATTTTGAAGAATATGGTATAAAAGAAATTAATCTGTATGTCTGAACCCTGTAATTATTTCTACATTAAACTTAAAATATACATTAGCTGTATATGATATGCATTCAGAAGGATATCTAGAGAATCCACATTGTTTGTTTTTTTTTCTTTCAGAGATCAGTCTTAGCACGACCAAGGCAATGACATCGGAAGGGGATGTAGAAGGTGTTGTATGCACTACAATCCCATATTATTTATACCATTATAGCATATTACAGAAATAGATGTAAAGTATATTATTAATCTTTTTCATACATGTTTCTGGACTTATTACAGATTCGCATTAATTAGTAATATTATTTTCAAACTTGATATATAAGCTGATTTTAATAAATTATTTTTTTCTGTAACAAGATTTGCATCAATTGCACGAGGACTATATATTTTATGATAAAAATCCAGATTGAAGTAGGCAGTCTACAACCATTGAGCGAAATAATATTTCCGTTGCAGCATACTTGGCTCGCTCATCTGTACATAGCATTGGGTCCTCTGTCATTACCACTATTATATCAAAAAGTATTATGTCGTTCGGTTAAATTTCTCATTGTAACAAGTACAATACTTAAGAGTGGTTTTCAGATTTATTCATACAAACGTTACCGTCATCAAGTGTCATCATCATCATCATCGTCATCATCATCATCATCATCATCATCATCATCATCATCATCATCATAATCATCATCATCATCTTCTTCTTCTTCTTCTTCTTCTTCTTCTTTTTCTTCTTTTTCTTCTTCTTCTTCTTCTTCTTCTTCTTCTTCTTCTTCTTCTTCTTCTTCTTCTTATTATTATTATTATTATTATTATTATTTGCTGTTGTTGTTGTTGTTGCTGTTATAGACCTCTTCATATATTTTGCAATTATTTAAGTAAATAACATGATGAAAACAATATAATGTGTTTGATATAAACAAAAGTAAAGGAAATATGAACAAAATCTCAATATAAACAATTGATATATAGTTATATGTCAAGACCGAATTAGGAAACTTAAAATAACCTTCACACAACAAATTTTGACTAGTGAACTTCTTGATTATATTGCTGTTTCCATGACAGTTAGTTTAGAGAGGTAATGACTCTATGGTCTTAAATAAATAACAGAAATGAGCAAATCAAACCTTTTTGTAAAATTTTTAAAAATAATTTATTTTCCTGGAATACAAATTGAAAATTTAATAAGAACTTAATGTATATTAATTGAATCCAAAATAATCCTAAAAGTTATATCATAAGTTCAAAAGTGTATTGTTTCAGAATGAATTTCAGTTTTTGTTATGAATGAATTCCAGTAGGCTGCATAGCCTGGAATGTGGCAATGTGCAAACAGTCTTCATCCGTCACAAAGATGCAATCAAGAATGTCTTTAAATGAATTCACAAGGATCCCAAATTAGTAATTTAGTCCAAAGCATCAATGAGCTGAAATTAAATATACATAGGAGACATAATATCTACTTTCTTCTTTTCTTTGTCGATGTTATTCTGTTCATAATGGTACCGATAACACACACACACACACACACACACACACACACACACACACACACACACACACACACACACACACACACCAGTAATAAACTGGACTTCTTTTTTAGAGTTTCCTTTTACACGCCATTTGCCGTACGTTCTTATTGGAGCTGGAAGTATCGGAGCTGTTGCTTTGCTTGCCTATCTTTCGCAGAAAATTCGGACCTGGTAATAAGTACTGCCAATATATTTCAAAATAAAAGTGAATTTTTGCAAGTTAAATAAACATGTATATAATATAGTAGGAAAGAAAGAGAGAAATGTTGTGTCTTGACGTACATTCATGTTTACTGTATCTATCGCACTTGGGACACTCGTAATGCATACACTTTATTGAAGATAATATGTATTAAAGATCATATTTCATAAATCAACTCAACGAACAAGTTTAGATTTGCGACATGGAATTTCGATACAAAACTATTTAGTTATAAGGTTGCTTATGTGCAATTAAAAACTTGAATAAATATTTCATTGCTTACTTTGTATTTGATAAACGATGCAGCAACACACACATATGTGTGTGTGTGTGTATATATATATATATATATATATATATATATATATATATATATATATATATATATATATATATATATATGAAGTGATTGATTGTCTTTGTCTCAGACTCTATGGCTTGTCTCTTCTAGCCAACGGGTGGATAGACTGGTGTCAAATAGCAATACATTTGCAGTTTCTAACATAGATGATAGAAACAAAAACTTAAAGGAGGAAGATGATAGAAACAAAAACTTAAAGGAGGAAGTCCCCTCTGGAAATTACTGGACAATTGTATGCAACACAGAAGGAGAACTGAGCAATGTGATTGAAACAGACTTTGAAAAGCGCATTCAAAAGCAACTAATTTTACAAAACATAGTTTCAACACAGACTGAGTCAAACAAACCAGTAAGGCCCAGGGATGTCCAACAAGTTATAGTGGAAGTCGAAGGGTATCTCAATCCCATTCAAGCATATCCTGTCGAACTCAATGATTACATCCATCCAATTAACACAGATATGGTGAATTCTGGCGTTATACCAACAGGTCAATCAACCGTGACGCCAAGTGAAAGCCACGTTGACTTGGAACTTGATAGGTATCTCAATCCTATTGAAGAATTCTCTGTAGAACTTGATGATTACATCCATCCAATTCACTTAGATCCGGTAACATCAGATTTTGTATCTACACATCAATCAACGGAGTTTTGAACAGAAATGATGGCGCAAAAACGTACACGTCTGCATCAGCTTCAGTGAATCTCCAATATTTATACGCAGTGTCGTGTTGCATTCTAGGTCGATTCGTATTCCTGGAAATAATCATGAACTTACATATATCCAATGAATTTCATTTATTTATTTTTTTCTATTGTAAATGCGTTCTGATTTGGGAGATCGATAAAACTGAGCAAAGGTAAATGGGCTCTGTTTATACTATCAGAGTCATATTGTAGATTTGAATCACTCAAGTTAATGTTTCACAGTTACGAAAAGCCAGCTATGCAAGAAACTATATCAGGTATTAAACATTAAATAACGACAGAACGATAGATTGTTATTATAGGGTTTAACGCCATTTTTTCAGCCCAAGATACATGGCGGCCAGTTTAAATGGTAGAGGAAGAACCTGGAAAACACCCGGAAATAACCACGGACCCACGAGAACCTACTGGCAAGCTTTCTCACATAACCACATTGGCCAAATCTGAGATTCTAATCCGAGCAGACTGGCGTGAGATGGCAATGATCCGTCAAGTTGAGTGCTTTAGACCACTCGGATCCTCAAATAATATGTTGAAAGCTAGTTCAAAATAGACAATATAAATGTATCTACGTTTTACCATTTAGGAACACACACTCACACACATTCTAAAGCAAACTTTAATTGGATTAAACCTCTAACAAATCAGCGTGTCTTGTTAAGCACTTAAATATGAGTAAAAAACTATTACAATTTTCAAAAATGTATTAGTCCTAAGCATTTAGGAAATATAATACATTTGATTGTGGACTGGCATTGTTGGCACTTTTCTGACAGCTTCATGTAAGGATACTTGGGCCACCTTGCTTCCAATATGTATGAAAGCGCTAAAAAGGTTTAGAAACTCCTCCATACGTCTTAACCGCATTCGTATCTGAATAAGCTTAAAAACAGCGTTTAACGGTATACTGCGTACATATTTTCAAGAATATTTATGTAAGAAAGATCTTCATCAGATCGATTAAAATAGATTACAGAGGTTTTTTTTAAAAAAACATAAAATAGGTTTATTTGTAGAAAGGGTATCCGTATTTAAACCTTTGTTAGTATGCTTCTACCAAATGACAATACGTTATCTCATGTCAAATATACTTCAAAGCAATTAACAGAAACGCAATTTGTTCAAAACATTTCTAATAATGGGGACTACGCTGTATACAGACTCACTTAATTTGTATAAAAAATATTAAAGGTACCAATGACAAAATAGTTTCATCCAACTGGATCAAAATAAGTGAAATGTTTTGTAGAAAAAAATGTTCTAACATATTCCAGAGGTTCTCTGTGATAAGTTAATTAGCAACTGCATTTGTTTCTCATTCTTTTATTTTTATAAAGCATTTATCTTTCTCTCTTTCATCTTTTTGAAGCTCGAGCTTCCTAAAATCCAATTTCATTTTGTATTTCATTACTTTTATCTCCAAAACCGACTTCCTGACCGAAGCCAAAACACTTTTATCCAAAACATTATTCTCTGCCAAATACTGAACCAAAATATTTTTAATTTCTGGTTTCGTAAAGGAAGATTTTGCTCCAGAAAGAACGTACTTTCTGGCACGTTCATTCATACTCATCTTCTTTTTTTTTAAAAACTATCCAACTGCTTCTGAGTTGGACTAGAAAGAATAATATCCACTTTTGATGATATTGTGAATGAAAGCCTGTGTTTTCACTAAAGATTTCAAACAAAAT